AAAAAAAAAAAAAAAATGCTAGTCAATAGAAATTTAATCGAGTAAAACATTTAATGGTTCTTGAAATATCAAGTTTTAGTCAATCTAGTCTTTAATTGCAAAAAGTAAATGTTATTTTACACATTGAATTATTAAATATAGGTTCCTTTAATTCTAATGTTATAGAACTGTTAAGAGATACTTTTAACGCTAATGCTCTCTACTCAAATCTGTCTATTTGTGAGCTCTTTATACAACACTGCTTACTCATATTATTTGCGAGTTGTATTTGGCCTTTTGGCCATAATAAATAAATAAATAATTACTGAAATAAATTAAATAAAATTTATTTATTAAAATAAATTATTTTGACCACATAGAATGATAAAAATAAAAAAAAAAGTCATCTTATATGCCGTTTTATATGGAGAGAGAAAGAAAGAAAAATATCATTTCATTTTACATCCTCTTCATGGAAAAAAAAAATAACAAAAAAAGTTATAGTATTTGACGTTTTCTGCATGACATTTTACATGACAAAATAAAAAAACTTCAAAAGTGACATTTTTATGCTTATTTTACCATGCTAAATGTTATACAGAAAACGTCAAATGCAATGTCATTTTTTTTTATGTGTTTTTGTTTTCTTTATCTTCATGTATAAAGGTGACATTTTCTTTATCTTCATCATTTTATGTGGTCAAATTAATTTATTTTGATAAATAATTTTTTATTTAATTTATTTTATTAAATTTTTTTATTTTATTATTTATTATGGCCAAAAGGCTGTTGTATTTGGGTTGCCTTAATATTGAGCAGTTGGACTGTGCCGATATGCACAAAAACAAAGGAAAGGAAAAACAAATAAAAAATAAAAAAAATTACGTTGCTTTATTGAGGTTTCTTTGTAACAAGGGAATGTGAATATTCTTTTATATAGTGTTTACAGTTTTAAGATAGCCAACAATGCTTAGTTTTGAGTGTTTGATTTTGACTGTTCATATGTGTGTACCGCTGAAATGCTATTGATTAGCATTATTTGCTCATGTGTCTTTAGGTATTTTCAATTAGTAATTTTTTAAAATAAATATTGCTTTAATTTTAAGAAGTAAAATGATCATCTATTAATAATAGGGATTAAAATAAGTATTGTTAAATAACTTGAAGGACTACTTTTTTTTTTCAATTTTGGGGATTAAAAATTGATGGACTGTATTTTTAGGAACTTAGTTGATGTAATATTTGAGTTTAATATAAATTATAAAATAAGAATAATGTATTAATGATCAATGCGATTCAATTGAAAGTAGCTTTCAACTGGATATATACCTTTCACTCAATGGTTAACAGAAACAGAAGTACTGCCACTGACTTGGGATCACATTATAGTGACAAAGACTCATCAATGGTAGCACAGATGCTAGTTTCTTCTAATTTATGTTCCAAATTAGAAGGTGGAGTGTTTGCCAACTCTATTGTGACAACATTTACGTTGCATGATCTTACACAAGAAAAAGTGTTTCACCCCATAAAAAAGTCTAACAGCGAGCAAGATTGTTCTAAAACTCTAAATTCTTCCCATGTAGGAATGAAGGGAGAGATTTTCAGGCCAGATGAAGAGTCTTGGCAACTAAAAACAAGCTTCGATCAGGCAATGCATATTTTGGTAATTCAAATTCTTATCCTTTTTCATCCACAGCATTGCATTCAAACCCTGAAACTGTTGCCATTGTTTTACAAATTCCATTTCAAAGATAGAGCTTGAAATACAAAAGAAGGGGTAGAATAAATGCTGAAGCATATCCCAAACTAAGTGAACTCTCTTCAGCAGTAGAATAGGTGAAGGTGGTACTACCAACTAGCAACCATGATTTTCCAAGTGTTGAGAGTCAGGGTCCCTCATCATTACTAGATAGATGGAAACATGGTGGAGGTTGTGATTGTGGTGGCTGGGACATGGCCTGTCCCCTTATTCTTTTAGGCAATCCCAGTGTTCAATTTACTGAAGACCGACCTCTTATAGAGGAATGTCAAACACTATAACTTTTCACTCAGGTAAACCTTGGAGTCCACACAAATTCCTGATTCCTCCCTCATTTTCACCTTAACACTGCATCATAATGCAACTCAAGAACTAGCAAATGTCACTAGGGAATACCCCTGGGGTATGCCACAAAATTGGCGAAATACCCAACCAGTACATGTCGAGATGCTAATGCCTTTCTTAAGACCAAACCCACAAGTGCACGTAACCCCACAGGGATACAATCCCGGACCAAATGGTTTAGGTTTTGTCATGCAAGACCCATACCAACATGTAGGGACAAGTCAGGAAGGTTCTCTGATTCGACATGGTAGCTATGTACCTACTAGTATTAGTAATCAAGCCATGATGGCTCTTCGACAACAGATGGACCATAGTAATCATGACATGGTCAATTTGTTGTCAACCCAGATGCACAATATTATGACTCCTCTATATGAATTGATAAACAAAATAGGAGATAAACTAGGTGAGGGACCACCCTCGAGAGCCATGAGTGCAAATCTGAATGAAATGGATAATCCAGATGGGAATGGGATTTTTCGACAAAACATAGGTCAACCTAATAGGAATCCTAATGACAATATAGATCAAATAGTAGAAAGGATATTAAACAGACATGGATTCGATGTAGGTCGAAATGAACGTCCTTATTTTGTGTCAGCCTTTCCAGATTATGTAACTCAAGTAGAACTACAGAGAAGAACAAAAGTCCCAAAGTTTTCAAAATTTGCGGGAGAATTAACTGAGTCTACGGTCGAACATATAGCTAGGTATGTAGTCGAATGTGGGGATTTAGCGAATAATGAATATTTAAAGATGAAATATTTTCCAAGTTCGTTGACTAAGCACGCTTTTACATGGTTCTCAACCTTGCCCCCTAATTCGATACACACTTGGATCCGGTTAGAAGGTAGTTTCCATGAACATTTCTTCAGAGAAGAAACGAAAGTTAGTATAGTCGATCTAATGAACATTAAGAGACAAAACCATGAAACTTTAGATGACTATTTAAATAGGTTCAGGCAATTAAAATCTCGATGTTATACTAATATACCTGAACATGAATTAGTTAGGATTGCAGCCACAGGGTTAGATTTCTCGATACGTAAAAAATTAGTAAATGAACAGTTGAGAGATATGGCCCAGTTAGCCGAAAAGGTAAGAAGGATCGAACAAATCAAGCTAGAAAAAGAAAGATTAGGAAAATTTGATAAATTTGTTCGAAAGGAAAAAGTGGCTTATTTAGAAAATTTCGAATTCAGTGATGATCCTAACTATGAGATTTCGAGTGAAGATTTTGAGATAAACTTAGCGGAATTGCGTCCTGGTCCTACGTACCAGTGTCAAATGTTAAAACCAGGAGATAGTGTAGAAGGAAATTCGACTAAGAGATATAGTTTTGACGTGTGTAAGGCAGAAAAGATATTTGATATCTTATTAAAAGATAAACAAATTGTACTCCCAGAAAATCATAAAATTCCACCATTCGAGCAAAGAAAAGGAAAGAAATTTTGTAAGTATCATAATATGTATAGCCATTGGACTAATAACTGTGTGCATTTCAGGGATATGATCGAGAGGGCGATTACTGATGGTCGCCTTGCTTTTGAAGAGAAAGACATGAAGGTGGACGTTGATCCATTTGCTGCCCATACTGGCTATGTAGAACTAGTTTCGATGCCCATCAACATGGCGGATGTTAATGTCAAGGACGACGAAAACATTGAACCTATCTCAGATGAAAGCTCGAAGAATTGATGGACGATTTCGCCAAAGAGGAGGAACCTATCTACCCTAAAGAAGGAGATAGTCTGCTTGAATTTCTGTCCAAAAAGAAGGAAGCTGAGTGGAAGGTTATGTTGTGCCCCCGATGCAGCGTTGTCTTCGATAGAGCCGCGGCGAAGGCTTTCGAGGAATCCGAAATGATGAGAAGCTACAAAGCCGAAAAGCTTCGAGAGAAACCTAAGCTTAATGATGGGTCGAATGCTGGATTGACCATGAGGCAGGTTCATATGCCCCAATATAATGCACCGATGGGCAACATGGGGATGTATAATTCCTCCAAGATCGGCAATACTTTTGTGCCGAATGCAAATGTTCCTGTTGGGAAATGGAATGCCCCACCGAGACCAATTGTTGGTGAAATGGGGCGAGGAAAACAGGTGATGAATTATATTGGGCACCCAGTACAAGGAATTCCCGGGAAAATCTCGAATATGTCCTTAGGTCCTGGCAGGTTCTCGAATGGAAGTTATGGTCGTGGATTTAGACAGCCCTTCAATAACTTAACTAAAACTCAGTGGAGGAGATAGCAAAGGATGCGGAAGGCTACCTTTGAAGGCCTTAGAGGAAACCGTTTCTCGATCCCTGTACCTCAGAAAGGGGAATCATCTCGAAAGTTCATCGAAGATGATGAAGATATGATAACAGATTGTTTCGAGAGTGGTTTTTGAGGACTCCATAGAAGATATTTGTGGGATAGTCTCCATTCTGCCCTCCGAGTATGTTGGGGCCATGGAGTCTGTGAATGAACAAGAGGATATTCATAGGGAAGACTTTTTCGATGACCCCAACTATGAATCGAAGATCATATGGGTCAATCAAATCTCGAGGGTTATCCCCAAATTCAACCTTGCCATGTTCGACTCTCCTACAGAGGAAATGAAAGGACACCTTAAGCCTCTATTGCTAACATTGATGATCGAGGGGCAAGAGGTGAATAAGGCCTTGGTCGACGGAGGTGCAGCTGTGAACATCTTGCCCAGGACAATGATGAAGAGGTTTGGGAAGTCCATGGCCGATCTAAAGCCCCATAATATATTGATTTCGGACTATGCGGGAAAGTCTTCACATCCTGAAGGAATGATTATGCTTGATGTGCAGATTGGGAGTGTGAAAAGGACTACCATGTTCATAGTAACCCCCTCGAAGGCTAACTTCAATGTGCTATTGGGACGCGAATGGATTCATGGGGTAGGTGTTGTCCCTTCCACGGTGCATTAAAAGATATTCTTCTGGAACGATGATGAGGGGTTGGAGGTTCTCGAGGCTGACCAGAAAACGTATAAGGTTGGTATGTATTTTGCTGATCAACAATTGACAACATTTGCAAAGACCAAGCCTTTCGATGCCTACAATTCTGGAGTGATGGATGAGGAAGAAGGAGTGAAGAAAACTTTCTGTTGGGATGTGAAGAAAGGTTTTGTAATTCGAGCCGAAAAGGATTCGGCTCCAATCGAGGAATGAAGGATGGAGATCCTTATTCGAGCTTCTTAGCTCGAATATCGGCCTACATGGCCGATCGAACGGCCAACATGGCCGAAGAAAGACCAGGCGGGGACGTACATACCAGTGAAGTCGAGGATGACGAAAATAGCACGACCTCTTTGGCCGAAGAAAAACAAAAAAAGAAAAAGGGAAGAGATTTCGAGGCCGAAAAGAATGAAGAAAAACACAAACAAAAGACGGAAGATATGGACTTCGAAGTCGACAGAAGGAAGAAAAAGAAAAAACAGAGAAAAAACGAAGGGACCAGGTCGTCTCGAAACAAACAGAAGAAAAAGTAGAAACTGATATGGACTAGGGGGTCGAAAACTTTAAAAAAGGAAAAGAGCAAGAGCTAGAACCCAAGTTAGACTGTATTTTCGATGATTCACCGTTGGGATTCGAAAGAGCAACTAAGGGAGAACATAAGTTAGAATCTCAAGATCCACTTGAGGAAGTTAACTTGGGAACTGTCGAAAATAAAAAGGTAACTTATATTAGCAAGTTCTTGCAAGGGTAGTTGAAGGAGAAAATAATTCGAGTTTTGCATGAATATAAAGACTGCTTTGCTTGGGATTACAATGAAATGCCAGGATTAGACCGAGAATTGGTAGAGCATAGGCTACCCATGATCCCAGGAAAGAAACCTGTGAAGCAAAGCCCTCGAAGGTTTGCTCCTGAAGTAATCGAAAAAATCAAGGAAGAAATTGAGAGATTACTGAAAGCGAAGTTCATCAAAACTTCAAGATATGTTGAGTGGATATCGAATGTCGTGTTTGTTATAAAAAAGAATGGAAAACTCAGAGTATGCATCGACTTTCGAGATCTTAATGCAGCAACTCCCAAAGATGAATATCCTATGCCCATTGCTGAAACTATGATAGACGCTGTTGCAGGTAATGAAATTATGAGTTTACTTGATGGTTATTCTGGATATAACCAAATTTATATTGCAGCTAATGATGTATCGAAAACTGCTTTTCGATGTCCAGGTGCTTTAGGCGTCTACGAATGGGTGATGATGCCATTTGGATTAAAAAACGCAGGTGCCACTTATCAGAGGGCAATGAATTTAATATTCTATGATTTAATTGGTAAGTTTGTACAAATATATATTGATGATATAATTGTTGGGTCAAAACAAAAGGAGGATCACCTAAGCCATTTAAAATTATCTTTCGAGAGAATGAGAAAACATGGTTTAAAAATAAATCCACTAAAATGTACTTTTGGTGTTACAGCGGGAGAATTTCTGGGATTTGTCATACACCAGAAAGGGATCGAAGTGAATCGAAACAAGACCAAAGCTATCATGGAGACTAAACCTCCATCGAACAAGAAAGAACTTCAATCTCTCCTAGGTAAAATAAACTTTCTGAGAAGATTTATATCGAAGGGAGCAAGAATTTTGATGGAATGAAGAGCACCAGAAAGCTTTCGAAGAAATCAAAGTTTATTTGGCTCATCCTCCAGTACTTGCACCACTCTCTAAAGGGAAGCAACTGAAGTTATATATCCAGCTAGCGATTCGACTATTGCGGGCATGCTGGCGCAAGATAATGATAATGGCATCGAAAGAGTCATTTATTATTTAAGTCGAATGTTAGTAGGAGCAAAAATTAGATATACTCCTTTAGAGAAATTATGTTTAAGTCTTTATGTTGCTTGTACAAAGTTGAAGTACTATATTAGGCCTCGTGATGTTGTAATATTTTGTCGAAGTAATATGATTAAGTATATGTTGTGTAAACCTGTGTTACATTCTCGAGTCGACAAATGGGCACTTGCGTTAACTAAATATTCATTAACTTTCGAGCCGTTAAAATCAACTAAGGGGCAAGTAATTGCAGACTTTCTTGCAGATCACTCGAAAGAAACTGAGGAAATTAATTATTTAACCACCAAGCCTTGGGAAATATGAATTAGGCACTGGGATAGGGTTATTAATTATTTCACCTGAAGGGATTCCTACTAAGTTATCATTCGAAACAGATAGAAGATACTCGAATAATGAAACTGAATATCAAGCAATCATTACTGGACTCGAGATCCTTATAGAGTTGGGTGCTAAGAATGTAATAATTCGAGGAGATTCACAACTTGTTATTAAACAACTAACTGAGGAATATAAATGTTTGAATGAAAAACTAATCGAACTCAAATCTCGAGCTGTACAACTGTTAAACGCATTTGACGAGGTTGAGTTACAACATATTCCTCGAGACTCGAATACCATTGCAAATGAATTGGCCCAGATGGCATCAGGGTATAAAGTAAGTAAATAATGTCTTGAGTGTCTGATTCATACAGAAAAGGTTCATACAGAAAAGGAATTGATAAGCCATCGAAAGATTCTAAGTGTTGGTTCTTCGAGTCAACAAGATTGGAGAAGCAAATTGGTCGAATATTTACAAAATTCCAATTTGAAGGTCGAGAGAAAAATCAAACTCCAAGCTCTCAATTATGTCTTGCTAAATAATGAATTATATAAAAGAGGTTTCGATGGAGTTTTATTCAAATGCCTTGGAAATCATGAAACTTATATAGCTATGGCAGAAGTACATGAAGGTATTTGTGGTGCACATCAAGCAGGAGAAAAGATGAAGTGGACTTTGTCGAGGAAAGGTTTGTATTGGCCAACCATGATTAAAGATTGCATCGAATTTGCAAAAAGTTGTGAAGAATGCCAAAGACATGGGCCGATACAAAGGGTACCAGCAAGTGAATTACATTCGATCATTAAGCCTTGGCCATTTCGAGGTTGGGAAATTGATATAATAGGACAAATTCACCCACCTTCCTCGAAAAATCACAAGTATATATTGGTTGCCATAGACTACTTTACAAAATGGGTTGAAGCTATTCCTTTAAAAGAAGTCGAGCAAAAAGACATAATTGATTTTGTCGAAGATCATATTATTACAAGGTTTGGGATTCCTCAAACAATTACTACTAATCAAGGCACAATATTTACGGGTCGAAAAGTTGCTCGATATGCGGAATCGCGAGGAATTAAGTTGATAACTTCAACACCATATTACGCACAAACAAATGGACAAGTAGATGCTGTTAACAAGCTTATTATCAGTTTAATTAAACGGCATATTTCGGGTAAGCCTCGAAACTGGCATGAAACACTTGTCCAAATTTTATGGGCATATAGGAATTCCCCCAGAGATGCCACGAAAACTACTCCTTATAAACTGGTATATGGGCATGACGCCGTTCTGCCTTTAGATATTAATTTGCAATCAATTCACGTACAAAAACAGAATGATTTGCCTATTGAGGATTATTGGAACTTAATGTATGATGAATTAATATCTTTAGACGAAGAAAGGTTAATAGCTTTACAGAGTCTTGTTCAACAAAAAGAAAGAGTCAAGAAATCATATAATAAGAAAGTCAAAACACAACGATTTCGAGTCGGGGACTTAGTGTTAAAAGTGATCCTTCCCATGGATCAGAAATCTCGATACCTAGGGAAGTGGTCTTATAATTGGGAAGGCCCCTTTATAATTGAACAAGTATATTCAAAAAATGCATACGTTATTAAAGAGATAAAATCGAACGTAAGCAAAGTGATAAATGGAAAATATTTAAAGTGCTTACATAAAAGAATAGAATAATAAGATGTTCGATAAATACAAGCGAAAGAGAAATTAAAAATGTTCAGAAATTTAATGAGTACAAAACTTGGACTTAAAATCTTTATAAGCTTGATAGGCCTTATCCAAATTCTGTCTTCGAGAAGAACATTGAGCCTCTAAATGCTTCTTTTGCTCCAAGGCCTTCGCAAGCTTGGAAGATATGACCTTGCCTTCCTCCTTAAGACTTATTTGCCGCTGCTTGATCTCTTGGCTTTGAACTTTTATAGCATCCTTCTTCGAGTGAGCTTTATCCAGTTCATGTTGCAAGGCTGCGATAGTTCTTTCGATATCTCCCCCCTCTTTTTGCAACTTTTGTAGAGTAGAAATCATCTCCTCTGTTGATTTCTTGATAGAAATTAATTCATGACGGAGGCTCTCAAGCTTGGCACGGTCCCCCTCATTTTCGATCTCAACCTGGGCTACTTCTTGGAATGCAGTAGACCATTGAGCTCGAAGATCCCATGCGAGACTAAAGGGTTTGATAAATTCCTGCAACTCGAAATGGATCTCAGGAGGAAGATCGGAATAAGACAACAGATCTTCGACCATCTGCTCCACCTCTGTCTTGAATTTGGGAAGGAGAAAGGCTTGATCAAGATCTTCCACGTATGCTTTTGATCGAAAAGATTCGAGCAAAGGTTGATAAGATGGTGTCTCAGACATTTTCTCGACAACCTTTTCTTTTTCCTGCTCCGACCCGGATGGACCACTTGTCCAGTTGTCCAGCACCTCGAAGATACTGTTAATATCTTCATCCTCATCATTAAAGAAGCTCATCAAGTCTAAGTCTGGAGAAGGAATTGATGAAAGACCTTGGATAGAAGAGGTAGCACCTCCTTGAGTCGAAGGGGAAGTCGTGAAAGGCCTAGGAGACTCAGTCGAATCTGCATAAAAAAATAGCTATATGAGATAATTCCGTTAAGAGTCACGATAAAGGTGTGGAGTTAAAAGAAGTATACCCTTGTTTGGATTCAGGGGGGGTTGGAGCGCGAAGGAATCTTCACCTTGGGCAGACTCTTGCAAAGTCTTCACATTCATCAAAGGTTCCGACTGGGGAACTTCGCCCTCTTCGACCTGAGGAGGGACCTC